TCCATGGCCGCATCTTGGAAACAACGAAGCGAATTATACGGCAGGTGCAGGCCCCAGTGTGCAAGTCCTGTTAGTACTGGAAGCAATCTTTGTTACTGAGTGAGCCTCACAGGGAATACGACTTCTATAATTTCAATACCATTGGCGGAAGCGGCAATCTGACAATCACCACATATGTCAATCCATCTTTCAATGCCGGAGAAAAGGATCGACCCATAGGATTTGCTCTCCAAGTTGATTCGCAGGCTCCACAAGCTTTATATTTCTTCCCTCCTCCTGTACCTGGTGGTTTCCCAGCGGCCTGGGGTGGCAATGATGGCTTTGCTGCAAACAACATTATTAGTGCTAATGCAAAGGTTACTGGGGTTACACCTGGACCACATACACTGAAGGTATGGATGAAATCATCGACATCTCAACTCTGACCTCAATATACTATAGATTGCAATGATCGAACCTGCAGTCGTTGTTGAAAAGATTGTGATCAGTGAGTCTACTGACCATAGCTGACCTCTTATTGCTGATTTTTCTCAGATACTGGTGCTTTGATGCCAAGCTATCTTGGGCCACCTGAAAGTCTTATTGTATGAAGTTAACTTCTGTTATGTTGATTTCTTTCCAATAATTCAGATATATCAAAGACAAAGTTCTTTTAAGACAAACCTTTTAAGGAGACAAACCTGTCCGCTCACTTTGTTGATGGGGCCAATGTCCGAATGATATTGATCCATGCGACTCACGCGTTCCTGCTTTTTATGGACATAGTGCTCAGTGTTCTTGTCCCAGGTCGACATGGTACCGATTATAGCAGTAGCTGTATGTGGTGTTTCAATTTCCTCCTTGAAATCATGATCATCTTGATATTATTGTACCGCTTCAAGCCGCACCCTAATGGATATTTATGCAAGTAGTATAATCACCGTCACCAATTGCCACTGCTTCGCCGCCATAGTGATCACAGAGTATGTACACGAGGTTCGGTCGTTGGCAGTATGGAATGCTACGGTCTGGTACTCTGGTACTGTCTGCTAGCTATGGCGTTTCTGTGCCACAGACGTTGAAAAGCTGTGCTGCTTATGATATGATTGCTCTGCAGTTAACAGAACTTGGATTGTTCGTAATGGGGTGATGCGGGATAGCCCTGTCGTCAAGGCGAACAACAGACCGCATATAAAGGCTGGGATTTAGCTTCCAAAAAAAAAATACAATACGGTGCTGGCGCAGTGTCACATACGCACTGCTTGAGAACCTATATAATAACGAATCTCAGCTTCAGCCAATCTATCTACTTGCCACCCAGGTTGACCCCGGGCCTCGTATCTAATCCACCTCTAATTCTTTACGACTTGCAACGCATCTACACGTAATCCAAACTTATATTCAACTCGACCTCCACGACCTCCACCCATGCCACTCGTCCTTGGAGCTACTTATGATGCACCTTCACGTACACCAACACCTCCATCAGCTCACAAGCGTTCTCTATCCACCGAATCTACTACATCCACCTCGTCTACCATCTCCTCCTCATCAACCTCCTCGAACAGCGGCTTGTCCCTTCGAGAGCGGCGAGGCGTAACTTTCCGATTGTCTTCCAACGATCTACCGGCAGAAGTCGACGCTCTGGAGCCGAAGGGCCATCTCGAGCCCCGCTTCAACAACGTTCCACGAAGAAGGCGTGCCCTTCCGATGCCCCTTACCATCTTTGACCCTACTTCTGTCATGGGCGAAGCCGGCGCGAAGAGCTCGTGTGCGCGGGATTTTGGAATGGGAGAGGATGGATGGACCGTTGTTGCACTGTGACTTCTATTGGGACCTTCTTGATAGGACAATGATGGAACTGGACCTAACTTAACTCTACAGTGCCTGCATATAATATGGATTACATCTGTAGCATTCATTATTAGACTGACAATGCCATCTAGTTTTGCGAAATCGACGTCTATCACCCTAAATTGACTTCTCGAATGATTGTGAAGTGTTACGCAGATTCAAGTCTAATCAGCTCCTAACTCTCTGATGAGATTGCGAAGTCCAAGATCTTCCTCAATCTTACCGAATTCAAACTCAATGAATGATGGGTCGAGAGAAGAAGTCAGAGTGCGCACCTGTGCCTTCAGCTGAGCGTCTTCCATACCAGCGGACGAAGCAAACACAGAATCTACTTCCTCAAGAGATATGTTAGCCGTCTCCGGTACGAAGTCAGTGGCCCAGAAGTAAGCGAGTGCACAAGCGATCGCGAAAACCATGAATGTACCACTAGTATATAGTAAGATTGTCAGCAAGTGGTGTCGAATGACTAATGGCGACGCTTACGCTGGAGAGTAATCCATGAGGATTGGAGTAACCAGTCCGATTAAAACTGACGATAACCATTAGACACATTTCGAGATGAAGAAAGGCCAGTGTACAGTTGTTCAACCAACTAGAGGCTGTTGAGAGAGCGACGCCTTTGCTCCTCATTGAAAGAGGGAAGACTTCGCTAGGGAGAACCCAACCAATGGGTCCAAAAGATACTCCATAGGCGGCTGTGAAGGTATATATTCCGCTAGTCAAGAATTTAGCTTCATCGGCAAAAATGAAATTTTGACCAACAGAGAACGCACCCAACTGCTGCCCATGCCGCTGTTGAGTGTGCCGGCCAATCAGACTCAAACTGGTATACCTGGGAACAGCTAAGTTGGTGGTGTCATGACATGAAAATTTGACATACCAGTAACGCAATGGTAACATGTGAGAGAGCCATCAAGGCGCCCCCACTCCGGAGAAGGGGTTTCCTCCCTGAACACATTCGTCAGAGTATGTAATACGTATAATATTTTCTTCCTAACTTACCGGCGCTATCGATAAAGAGGATGGCAGGGATGACAGCTAGGAATTGAACGATCCCGATGCCACCTGATACTAATAGAGTCACTGTATCGCCGCGCAATCCAATGTTTCGTGCAATAGTAGGACCATAGTAAAGGAGAGCATTGATGCCACTCCATTCTGAGAAAGAGGTTTGAATATCAATGTTTCCCGGACACAAGGAATGAAACGAAACGTACGTTGAAAGACCATGATCAGCACACCAATCCAAGTTCTATCTCTGTATTTTCTCTGTGAGAGCCGCTTCCATGCTTTCAATTCGGATCTGAGACTCCACAGTCGGACTCGGTCGTCATGGTCAGTGACACCATCATCAAGCGCACGTTGGACTAGAGTCATTTCGACTCTCATCTCGAGCAATTCAAGCTAAAGACGTGAGTAATCAAACATAAGGACAAAATTGAGGTTAGAACAACTCAAACCTGCAGCAGGGGGTCATGCCGTGCCTCCTCTAATGATCTTGAACGCAGTCGTGCTAGACTCGCCATCGCATCATGATAACGGTCATGAAGGACCAACAATCTCGGTGATGGGGGTAAGAATAAACATCCGAGACCTAAAATAACACCTGGTATGAGTTGTGTTCCAAGTGGTATTCGCCATGAAGCTGATGATGGAACTGGCAAAGGGATAAGCTGCCTCACTTTGTCGGGAAGAGAAGGATCACGGACTAGAACGAGTTAGAAAGCCTGTCCAGAAACCAAACACGACACCAAGTACGATGGAGAATTGTTCTAATGCTATAAGAGACCCCCGGACTTCAGGTGGGCTGATTTCAGCCATGTACAGCGGGGAAAGCATACTGAAGTAACTGAATGAGCCAAAAGGCAGTGTATGCTAAGGACTGAAAACATACCTCAAAGCCCCGACGCCGATTCCGCCAACCGCACGTCCAATGAAAAGATGGCTCAAAAACTGAGCACCACATTGAAATCCGGATCCTATGCAGAACACGACTAGATACGATGATTACTGTGACAACAAGAGTAAAAATAGAGAGGATGCGTACTGCAGGCTGCAAATATCGAATGTCGGCGCGAGTAACGGTCTGCAAGAATTCCGGCCCCAAGAGCTCCGAGTAAGGCGCCGAGCTCTAGTACAGCAGCTGTAACACGTGCTGTCAGCGTGTTGAAGCATTCAGAAGAAGAAAAAACCTACTCATAATCCCTTTCTGTAGGGGTGTAATAGGCCACCTCTGCATAAAGTCAGTCATAACTAGGACATTGGCAATCTTGAAAAGTTAGCTGGAAAAGAGGAAGATGTAGCCCTGAACGCACCACACCCTGGTCATAACCAAAGGTCAAACCCCCAATAGACGCGAAGAACGCGCAGAGCAAGGCATAATAGTTGTGCAACAGCCCCGCGACTCCCTTCGGTCCATATGAGTAGCTGTACGAGCGTCCATCTGGATGAAGTTGGAACGTTCCTCGAAGCTTAGGATTTCCTTGTGATAGGAGTGGTTCTTGTCCAGTATCTTGCAAGGTGAATTCATCGTCCAGTCTATCTTGCGTTTCAGCAGGGTTTCTTGAAAGTGCTAAATAACCACCATTATCCGGATTCGTCTAATATATAATGCGAAGTTAATAAGTTTGAAACAAGGAGGGAAATTTCGAGAAACAGACCATAAATTGCAAGAAACCTTGACAGGGACCAGAGTGAGATGTCGAGCAGGTTGGCGGTTCGACGAAAGCTTCAATACAAAAAAAAATGGACATACAAGGTGTTATGGACACATCCGGAATCGAACCAGAGACCACTCGCAAGTTATAATGCAAAGCGAGCGTGATAACCAGCTACACCATGTGCCCATAATATAAGCATTGTCCTAGAGCGAAATAGGTGACCTCCCACCTGTATAGTTTTGGTTGCTGAGGCACTCATCTGGAGAGGGATCGTGTCGTGGAAGGTCCTCTGTTCCACTCAGACTCTTCTTCGTGTTCGCGGTTCACGTGATTAAACGTGTCCTTCATTGGTCTTGGCGAACGGAAGGAATGAAGAACGAGCCCGTGACCTTGAGCTTCTTGACTCAAATCTGGATCGACCGCGCTTTGCTGGAAATGGCGTTCAGTGTGTTTCCGTTAAAAATGGGATTTCAACCGCAAAAACGATGGATATTTCAAGCAATGACATGGACACATCCGGAATCGAACCGGAGACCACTCGCAGAATAAGAATGCAAAGCGAGCGTAATAACCATCTACACCATGTGCCCTTAGGACAAAGACAAGATCCTCTAGACTCACCCTGAACTCAGTGATTCGCTATGCTAAAGACTCCGAAGTAGATATATGAAATATATGTAACCATGTCCTATGAGTTATATTATAACCGTGAGTCAGGAACCCTATATTTCTCGTTGTTCCAATCAATCTCCTGTTTCAACGCGGACATCAAGATCAGTTCGTGTGTATATATGGGATCAGTTGAAGCGATAGGCCGCCAAATCCCGATATCTTCCGGACACGAGACAATGTAGCGGTCGTCATTGGCACTCATAATTCGTGCTGTTGGTATTTGTGTACTGACCTAATCACATTCTTAAGCAAACTAAAAAATCAACAGCACTAATAGATACTTACCTGACCGCCACACGCGGTCACGACGTTCCTGAGCAGTCTGATGTCGACCGGCACCTTGGGAGTGATATAAAACACCATTTTGGAAAAGAGGGTGCCCCGAAGCTCTTTCGCTCGCGAGAGCGCTTCTGCGAGGACAAAATCAAACTTTTCCTCATTGGCCTTGTCACGCAACAGGTAATTTCGCTCGTCTATAGGTACATGTGAGTTGAGAACCTCACTTTAGACACCTAAATGCTTACCGAGAAGCTTCTTGGCAGCAGCTGACTCTATTGCCCATTTCTCTGTCAAGATAAAAGGGGCACTCGCGAGCGCACAAAGGAACTTTTCTGTCCGAACGAGATGGGGTACGAGTAAATGAGTACACTCCGAGGGTTTGACCGTGATTTTAACCCCAAGTTTAGTTAATGCCTGAAGGTGGATTCAGCTCGAGTTCGATTATAGAAGGTTGAGATACAAACCTTGACGACATCATCAGTCAGCGAGACTTGGGTCGTCATAAGTCGTACTGCGCCAGACTTTGAATCGACGCTACAAATAAGAAAAATGAGTTAGGAAACGCAGAAATAAATAGAAACTCCAAACCTGCTATCCACATCGTCCACCTTCGTCGTTCTGGACTTCGTAGTTTTACCTGGGCCTTCTCTATTCTCATCAGGTTTCTTCCCTTTACCCTTGACAGGCTTGACAGGTTCATTTTCTTCTTCCTCCTCTTCCTCGTTCACCTTCGCCTTACCCTTCTTCGCATGAGACGTAGACAACCGCTGACGTTTTGCATCTCTTGAATCACCCTCTTCTTCGTCCGAGCGCTCCTCAGCCGTGTGCCGCTTCTTGCCACTACCACTCCCACTACCACCAGGAACAGAGATAGCTCCCAAGCTTCGTCTACCCTTCCCAACATTTCGCATCTCTTGCTGGAAGTTCAAAACATCCGGCATAATCTCCTCATGGAGCTTTTGCGATGCCCTCGCCGCAGCCCCACGCTTCGTCCGCCCGGTGCTGATCACGGGCGCCTCGTCATCATCCGTGGCTGGAGGAGGAGACGTTGATGTCGACGGTGCCGGTGGCGTCTTCGCCTTCGGTTTAGCTTTGGTCGCTGAGCGGGACGCTGTAGCCGTTCGACTTGTTGAAGCTCGTTCGCCTGCAACGACTCGGATGCTCTCCGAGCGAGAAAGATTGGTTGGAGCGATATCCTTGCTCTGAGGAGACTTTTTGGCGCTAAGTGATAGTCCAGGCAGAAGAACCGAGACAGTCCGCTTTGGAGTAGTAGACGATACGAGGTCAGCGGCAGGTTCAGAACGCCCGTTCGGCTTGGAGGTATATTTTTTACTGAGACGTTGTGATCTCTCGTCCTCATCTTCGTCCGAAGAAACAGCTTTACTCTTTCCCTTTTTTGAGTTTTTGGGAGCGGTGCGAACGGGTTTTCCTGCTGCTTTCTTGGCTGGAGAAATTGGTGGAGGGGTCAGATCAGATTCATCTTCTGATACTGGGGATGTGGTAGCTTTCTTCGACTTCTTGGAAGTTGAAGTTGTCGCTTTGGTGGTATATCTCTTTGAAGGGGAAGGGTCATCGTCTTCGTCCGACGTAGAAGTGGAGATCTTTCTTGAAGACGAAGGAACAGGCTTGGTTGCAGACCTTTTCGCTGGAGAAGGCTCCTCTTCTTCGTCCGACAAGGATAACATAGGAATCTTCTTCGACTTCGAGATCGAAGCTCGAGGTCTGACGACACTTTTCCTCAATGTAGAAGGTTCCTCCTCGTCCGACACAGGCGGTGTAGAGATCTTCTTCGACTTCGAAGACGAAGTTCGAGGCTTGACAGCAGCCGGTCGAGGAGGCGGGGAAGATTCCTTCTCTTCTGGAGATGCTGGAGGTTCAACAAATTTCTTGGCTTTGCCAATCGGCTTGGGCCTTAGACGCTCTACTTCTGCCACCTTTGGCTTGGCCTTTGTTCTAGATGTCGACGCAATGACCATGTCTTCATCCCCTGATTCCCAAGGTGGGCGCCTTTCTTTTCCTTTCCCCTTTCTCGATGTCGATGGTAACTCCGTCATATCCCTACGGCTTTGGGCTTTGGTTGGTGACTCGTCTTCTTCCTCCTCATCCGACTGCACTCTCCTCTTCCCCTTCTTCCCACTAATGGTGGTAGACCCCTGGTTGTCGGCTTCGTCTACCTTGTCGTCAATAAATACATTCTTCTTCCATGACCTTCTCCTTGCCACTTCCTTTTCCGATTCGTCATCGCTTAGCACTCTCTTGCTAGGCGACCTCTTCAGAACGCTCCTCACCGGCCCTCGCGGATAGTCTTCCTCGTCTTCCTGTTCATTCTCGCTCTCGTGTCCCGCCTTCTTCAAGTTCTCAGGCCGCAAAGGTGTCACCACCACCGCATCCATGATCCATGACTCGCTCTTTTCCCCGACCCGTCTCACAAGTTTTTTTCTCGCCTTCTTTGCAGTCGTCTCCACGATCTCGACCTCGTCATCACTGCTGGTACTACTGCCTGGGTCGATACGCGGCCGCTTCATAGGGGCAACCTCCAGCTGACCACTCTTGCGTTTCGTGATCCGTACTTCAGGGGCCGCACTATGGTCTTTGGACAACACTCTGGGTTTGCCTTTCGGCCGTGGCTTGATCCTCGTCTTAGCTGCGCTCTCGCCTTTGTCCTGCATTCGCTCCGCGATACTCTTGGCGTTACTGGACCTCGGTGTTGGCGTAGGTCTAGAAGGTGCAGGCGGTTCCTCCTCTTCCTCCATAGGCTCGTCTCCGTCCTCATTTTCAGCCGTCTTCGCAGCTGCTTGCTCTCCCACCTCGACCTGAAAACCTTGAGGTTCCACCTGCATATGTGCATCTCCGTCTCCATCGGCCCCAACGACTTCCTCGACCTCTTGAGCATCTCGTGCGCTACCAGGCGTACTCAATGGGTAAGTAGTTCCAGTGGTTTTCCTCTTCTCCTTCTCTTTGATGTCAGACGCTTCGCTGTGGGGCTCGGACGCGACAGTCTCTTCCACATCGTCTTCCTGCTCAAGGAATTCTAAATCATCCTCCCCAATCTCTTCCACCCCACGGCCAACCCCACGATCCCCAAGTTGCCGGGAGAAATCCACACCAGGCGGGAAGACGATATACTTCTCGAGTGCGACAGTCAGGTTTCGCCATTTCACAAAGCAGTCTTCGAGCCAGAGGTGGTTAACGATTGGTATAGACCATGACGCGGCTTTCTCGGTCTTCTGTCCGGATATACTATTGTTCAAAATTCATCAACCGTTACTCAGATGAAGCCAGAAACAATCTCACTAGGCAGCAATGAGGACAGTGTTCTTCCCAGACATGCTGGGAGTGAATACGGCGCCCATGGCTAGGATGAGCTTCTTGATGTATTCACGCGATTCGCCCGTATAATTTGTTACTGTGATTTCCTGAGGTATGGGTCAAGGTTAGCAATTTGAGAACAGAGGGGAGAGGACACACGTGACCAGAGAAGCCCTCTATGGGTCGTTTAGGTATTGGATACCAGAGGAGCTGGTCCATAGGTGGCGATAGAGTACCAGTTGAATGCACATGAAACACCCACGGCAGAGTTCCGATAGTTTTATTCTGTCTTACGGCCTTGAAAATGTCAGAATAGCAAGGAAGAATAATATGATGTGAAAAACATGCCTGCACATAAGCCTTTCCACTGCGAAATCTTGTGACAAATACATCACATTCATCGACTGCTGCTGCTTCTTCATCCTTTCCTCCTTCATACAATACAATCTTGCCACCTGCTCTTCGGATCTCCGCCTCAACCGCATCTCTTCGGCTCCCGGACAGTTCTAAGCTACGGCCTAGCAGAACGCGGCGGCCTTCCCAAACGTTTTTGGACTTCCCTCGCGGACTTTCAACACTCAATTCCGACGTTCCCTCTTCGCCATTGGGCAGCGGTGCACCAGGGAAGAATAGGTCTGTTGTGCGGTACAACGACTTCTTCACGTTGTCAAGCTTGCGTAGTGCAGCACGCTTCATTGTATCCGCTTTCGCGCCTCTGTCCTCGGCGCCAAGGGCGCGTAGCATAGGAGGATCGGGCCATTCATACGGCGTAGTATCCAAGCCGCTGATACCTAGGCGAACAGCGTCATCGAACCAGTGGGGGAGGAGTATCTTGACATGCGTATCGTCACGAAAGTGTAACGCGGTTGAGTACTTTGCTGAGGTATTCTTTGTGGCGAAGAGATGGGTGACATCTTTGGTCAAGCCCGTTCGCCATTGCCCTCCTAGCGCGGTAATTCCGGCAGAGAGGACTTCAAGATCTGTGGCTTCAAGCTGCAGCGCGATAATTGTTTTCTCAAATCAACACGATAGGAGGTGTACGAACCTCTGCAGCGCATGCAACAACACCAGAGAAGATCATGGCAGGATCTGCAGAGTAGAAGGATGAACTAATTCACAGGGATAAGAATAAGTTTTGATCCCTCGCGGCTAAGGCAAAGAAAGACTCGCTGTTGTAATTTTCCGAGGAGTAGTGATTTATCGACCCATTTATCCTGGAAGGCGCGCATTTGTTATTGATATTGATACCAAAGCTGCCGTAGTTCAACGCACTGTGACTACCACAAGCTTTCCCTCTTCTTCACGCGTCGCAATTTCTTGCCATCGCTCA